CTGTTCTTTTTCAAAGCTTGTAATATGTCTCTTCTTTCACCTTTTCTGTTCAAAAGCAATGCACAGAGTAGAGAAAAGGAAGCACAGAAGTGATGGTGCTGGGATTTGGGGGCCATGCTATCAAAAACACCTTTCAGAGCCAAAATTACATTTTTCCATGATCTTATGCAGTGCAAAGTTATATCCCATTACACTTGGGAAAGTTCCACTGTGCACTGACTTGTACTGAGTAGTGCTTGAGCGAGCAAGTACAGATTTGCTATTTAACTATCTATAACAACTACTAAAATGACTCTTCTGTTGGAGTGGATTTTGAAGAAGAGTCAGGATGTTCCGTGTTCTCTGAAAATAGTCTAAGAGTCTGTTTGGATCGTTCTATCCCGCTTCTTCATCCTAACTCCTACTTTTAATATATTCAGTTGACATTACCCACAGCTTGATAGATTTATTCAGGTATGTTTAAAAGCAGATTCTCAATTCATCAGCTACAGGTTTTCAGTGTACTGGGATCAGTTTTATGAAGTTGTTCTTTTTTAACTTTGCTTTTTTCCTAGATACTGTTGTTTCCATTTCTGTTGTACCTTTGTCACTGTATTTATCATAAGTGTCTTCAGTGGAAACAGCAGCATAATACTCACTGAGGTACATTAATCTCAACTTGATCTTATTTTCTACCTTCTTTTTAATTATCTGTCCCAGATAAGCTAAAGGAAGCTAGCTGTCTTTACTTCCTTAGTCTAACTCAAATGGACTTGCAGCAAGTCTCTCTTTATCCCTGTAGATACCACGTGCTATGGCAAAGCTCTTTACTTCTCATCCTTCATTTCTGCCTACTTACTGTAAATATTGTTTCTGAGGTGATTGTTTTTCCAAATATGTCTGGGGGGCTTCTGTACAGTCTTTTCTGCCCTGTCTAGGGGTACAGATGCTACTAGCCCTTGGACTTAAAGAAATTCCCAGCCTGCTCTACAGGGCAGACACTGCACTCTTCAGTCCAGTTGATCTCTCTACCTCGTTTCCTTTTTTTTTTTTTTTTTTTTTTAAGGATTGTCTCTTTAGATTATCTCCTATCTGCCTACATGCTTTGGTTTACTCTTCGAATAGGTTGGACTGCATCAATTCCTTTATCAGAGCTAGTCCTGTGACTAGCTTTTTTCACTATTAACTAAAACTCAACTTAAAATATCTGATTTTGTGATTATTTGATGTAGAAATTGCAGCTATGACCTCCAAAAAATTCTGGTTCCTACTATTATGAGAATCGTTTATTCTTGATTAACATGAGGGTCACTGCTGTCTTGTAGAATCACATCATTTTTAAAAGCATTTATCTCTCTGATAGCATTTTGAAGACCTCTTATGTTTCAGAAACTGAATCTATGGATCAGAGTAGACCTTTAGTCCTATTGCAGTAAGCTACGTTTGGAAATCGTGTCCTGGAAATGATTTTTGATTTGATCAATTCTGTACTACCATTTCTTAGTTCAGGGAAGTCTGTCTCATCATTAACGCCTAATGCTGCTCCAGCAATTGACCTTATTTCTGTCTTTCCTGAGATTTTGTTCAGTTCTTGTGTTGCAGTCATTTTAGTTGCTCCGTCATGTTTCTTATATCTGTGTAGCATTTGATAATGACTTCTAGCTGAAGTAGTTTCTTGAGTTCATTACCGTTTTTTTCAAATATTTCTCTTTGGTCTCTCCCAGATTCCTAGACAGATCAGACACAGTCCTTTCTCTGGCTGACACCTGTCTATTTCTCACTCTCATCAATATCTTTACTTTGTTTCTCCTCGTTCGCTCTTCTTTGTCTGGAGTTTCTGTATCCATTACTGCTAAACTTGGATATTATAGAAGTTTAAAACTCTGTTCTCAGGTGCAAGTCTTTATCTGAGACCGTTGTTTGGAATCATTCTTAGAGTAGAAGGCACACTTTTAATCAGCGTCTCTCTGTAGGTGCACATCCCCAAATCTTTTTCACAGCCTGAGTTTCTGAGTAATCTTTTATGTTCATTAATATTCCTTTGCTGTCCTTCTCTGAGCGCTGGAAGGGCTCATCTATGTTTTCACATCATTAGAAATCTTCCGCAGGCTGCTGTATGTGGCATCGGTCTGTTGTAGTGGAAATCTGACATTTGTGCTGACTTGAAGGACAGTCAGAACATTTTTCATTCTTTTTTTAAGCCATGTTTATTTTCAGCCATTGGTCCAAATCTTACGTGATTGCTCCTAGCAGACATCTCTCTCTCTCTCTCTCTCTCTCTTTGAGCCACTCGGGTGACAAGCTTGTCTCTTTTCCTTTATCATGTTTTATAAACTTTGAGAACTAAAAAATAAAATATGACCTAATCTTACCAATGGTATTTTACGCTTACCAATAAAGAGAAATAGATTGTTTGCTAATCATTCAGAGCATTCCTAAGCATAGTGGAAAAAAAATTAGACTAGGGACCTGGAAAAATTGAGAGATGATAGGTTTAGTAATTTTCTCCATAGAGGAGACAGTCTACTTTTCTGGCATTTGAAGAGAGGAAAAAGTACAATCCAGAGAGTTTAAAACTGCATCAAACCATAGCAGATTGCTAGACATAGTGCTTTTTGTATGAGAACAGAAGGTTTTTTTTCCTTTTTTGGTTTAAAATCTCACTACCAGGATATTGATACAAAAAAATGGAATTAGCTCAACTTTATCCATTAAACACAGATAAATAGTAAATTAAATAAAAATTTATCTAAATTACAAGCAATACTTGTCCCTTTCATTCCTGTTTCCTCATTCCCTGTATTTTCAGACCAAAAAAGTTAATAGTTAAAAATAAGGAATAACCACTTGTAGAATGCTAAAGCAGCAAATAGCTCACATAGTCCTTCAGGTTTATTTTAGGCTAAGATTTATGAGATTTAAGACATAAACTTGTGTGTTTTGAAAACATATCTCTTTGAAAATATATCCTTATATGTCTCGTATTGAAATGAAAAAGTCACTGCTTGTATTAAAAATGCTTTTCTGTAACTGCTATGAGAATGTTGTATGTAACTGAAATGTTAATGATTGCAAATCTGCAAAATACAATCTTTCAGTAGGACTAAAATACCTTTTGTTGCAGGCATCAACTATTTGTAAAGTCAGGAAAAATCCCCCTTCTGTGTTACATGGAATAGCTGGTGGCGCATGTAGGTTTTCTTGCTCTTTTGCCCTTTAGTTGTTGGCTGAAGACAGGTGACACTATGCCACTCTGCTGGTGCCTCCTGTGCCCTGAACTGCAGTTTTCTGCCTCTAGAGGTGACTGTGCAATTTGCACAGGAGACTCCTTCTTTCCCATCTATTGTAACTTCGCTTCTTTTTTAAAGTTTGTTAGTTCCCACCACTTGCAAAGGAATGAGGAACCATTTGTAGAACCACAGATTCTTACTATGCAGCATATAATTTAATATCAGCTACATAAATTATTAATTGCTAGTCTTCCATTTATTACTGTGCAGTGACTCAGCCTGTCGTATGAGTAGATGGAGCATATTTCTCCATTAGTTTCCCAGGCACTTTTAATTTGGAGTTAGATCAACATCTTCCCCAGCTCCTCTAAACTGGCTCCCTGACAAGTGATTTGCAGCAGCCCCCAGTGGGTGCTGCAGCCTAACGGGCGGTTGGTTGGCAGGCCCGGCCGGGAGGCCGCCGAAGTGCCAAGGGTGCCTCACTGGGAGGAGGGGGACGCAGTGACTGCTGCGCACAAGCCCAGCTGGCTCTGCCAGCCACCTAAAAAGGTGCAAGGACCGGAGCAGAGGGCAGGGAAGAGGTGCCCGAAGGAAGGAGCAGTCGCGCGTGGGAAAGGGCAGGGCATAAGAGTCCAGAGTGTTTTGTGCAGCTTAGGTGTAGACACTTGGACAACTAGTGATGGAATTAGCTAAAGCAGGTGTTGGTGCTGGTCTGGCCATGGTGGGTGCGTGCTGCCTGTCCGTTTACGCAGGTAGATTTTACAGTCTGTTCTGAATCTTCATCTCTCAGAACAGTGCTTTCCGCAAGACTTGGATAAACTAGTTCAAAGTTAGCTTGGGTTTGCTGACTTGAGCAGCATTGGCACCTCTGAAGTACAGGGTAGAGATATGCTAAAATCATAGTGCGTAGCGGTAAACACAGTGCATGTAATATGAGTGCAATTATTCTTGGTGTTCCTCTGTAGGTGTACCTAGGTATACCTTCAGTACTTTCTTAATGGGGAACAAGGTGCATGCCTATGCAAAATGGATTTGTTTCTCAGAAGATAAGATGCTATTTGATAACGTTATCCGCAGAATCTAATTTGATAGTTTTTTTTGGACCAGATTTATTATCATGTAGGTTTTAGTACAGTTACAGCAATGTTAAGCTCATGTAGCAGTTGTTTTTCAGAGATCTTAATACCCTTAAATACCCCCAAATACAACATTGGTATGCATTATAAAAGTGAATGTACAACTTTATGTAATACTGTAGTGTGTGAATTTCATATTCGAGCACATAGTCCAGTGGCATTAGGGATTATTCTGATCAATAATTTACTGCTGCCTGTTCATTTTTAGCATGATGAAATAGAATGAGAGTTGTACAGCTTTGTTATTTTCCCAGGGATTTAATTTTTCCTCCTTCAAGCATAATATTATTTACATTAACAAGCATAATATTATTTACATTAATAAGTATTACAGTATTACTTTTACATTAATGTGTGTAACAGTATTGTTATTTCTAAAACAACATGCACAAACATTATCATGAAACTCTTGATGGCTGGTGCATTGCCAATTGTTTTTAATGGTTTGTTTTTGCAATTTCATTCCCACTGATTGCCAAGGTAGCTTTCAGCATTAATTGTGTCTCTTGCTTGAGTGTACAGTATGTGCAAAGCCTTGCACTCCTTGTTTGTTAAAATAGCTGTTAAGACTCAGGCTGCTTAGTTCTACATAGAACTGGTGCAAGTTTCCGCTAAGCCATGATACTTTCTTTTTCAGGTTGCTGTGGTTGCTTAAGACAGTGCTGTTTCACAGTCCCTGTGAGTATTTTTGTTGGACCGAGAGCAGCTGTGACTCACCCAGGCATGCTGTGCTAAAGTGGGGGGTTGACTGCTGAAAGGAGGTAGTCCAAGATCTTCATCGCACCCAGGCCAGTGGCTTAGAGGGAAGCTTCTGTCAGTAGAAGGTTACTAGCTCCAAGGAAATCATGGCCTCATCCCGGCTGGTGGCAAGATCTAGAGATATTGCCAATGTCATGCAACGACTTCAGGGTAAGTGACTGCTTGGTACACTGTCATCAATTCATAAAGGGAGGTTCCTACTTTTTACTATTAGTACAAAAACAGAAAAATATTTCTGAAGTTTAAAAATTGTTCAAAACTTACTGGAAAATGTTTATAGTATATTTGAAGAGCTCTTATTGTATGGTTTCTTTGATATAACGTCAGTAACAATGTTTAAAAAGAGGCTATTATTATGAACATGGATCCATGGGATAGGACAATGAATTACAGAATCACATAATCACAGAATGGTTGAGGTTGGAAGGAACCTTTGGAGATCGTCTAGTCCGACCTCCCTGCTCAAGCAGGGTCCTCTAGAGCATATTTCCCAGGATCGCGTCCAGGCCGGTTTTGAATATCTCCAGGGAAGGAGACTCCACCACCTCTCTGGGCAACCTGTTCCAGGGCTCAGGCACCCTCACAGGAAAGAAGTTTTTCCTCAGGTTCAGATGGAATTGCCTGTGTTTCAGTTTGTGCCCGTTCCCTCTTGTCCTGTCGCTGGGCACCACGGAGAATTGATTGGTTCTGTTTGGTTCTATTTCTCCCACCTAATTTGACTATTCAACAGTTTTCTCATAGAGAAGAAAATAGAAATTATACCCATCCTCTTCCCAGTCTACAGATAGATCTGCTATACTGATAAACTAGTATGTTAGTATAGTAATAGTTGATGTCTCCAAACAAGAACTAGACCTCATTATATTGTTAAGCATTGAAGAATTTGTTAGTCAGTGAGTTAATTATTAGTGTTCAAGTTGATGACCTTTTAAACATCATATCACAGGATATCTTTACAGTATTCATGGAGTGGAGGTTACATATGTATTAAGCTTTTCTAATAAAGCATGACTAAAAGTTATTGTCTTAAATTTTTAGAAGTTATAAACCTAGACGCTGCAGCTAAAAGCTTGCATTCAGGATGTATGTTTTTTGTCAGAATGATGCTGCTGACTAGAAGGAAATTAATGTCAGCGCTGCTAAAGTCTTCACTCCTGTTAAATATAAGGTTTAATTGTGAAGCCCTGAGCTTGTACTTTCTTTACACACCAACTCCTCATTGACTTCAACAGATGCTTATATGCATAGAACCAATGCTAGCCCCTTCTGCATCTTCTAAACCTTGAATCTTTATCCTCCTTTGGTTTTTCCTTCCATTGATTGTTTTCCAGTTTTGATGAGATATCTGAACTCAGCTTCCCAGCCAGCAGATGCAACTAGTGTACATAATTTCAGTGTACCCTCAGCTGATAAAACTGTGCATAAAGATGGAGAATCTCTCCTCTTTATGCCTGCTACATCACTTTTCCAACTCCAGAATGTTTCTGCTTGATGTTCTACAGACCTTTGTACAGTTATCTTTTCCTTGCTTTTTTTGCATCTGGTAATTGATAGGCTACAGTCCTGAGCAACTGTTGTTCAAAGTGCATACAAACATAGAACGAATAAATATTCCTTTGCCAGAGAAGCTGTGATTTAAACATTAGGATAATAAACTCCAAGTCGATACAAACAAATAAGGGAGTGCAAGGGAAGAAGGAGGCAGTATTGGTCAGACAACAGACGGGGGTTTCAGTATACTATATGTATCATGGTATGCTATATGTTTAAAAGAAATCCTGTTTTTATATGTATTTCCCTCCCTGCCCTCTAAAAAAGAGAAATTTGAGGCAAGAAATGAAGCAGTTACGGAATTTGAGCCCATCTGAGGAATATGAAGAAATACGTGGGAGAAATCACAGTGGTGCTTAAAACTTATTAAGGTGTACTGCAAATTAAAGGATCAAGGAACACAGTAGTGTTCAGGGAAGGTTATTCAGACTAGTACCAAATGCTATGAGTGAGGAGGGGTCTACAGGAGGTATTTACCGAGCATGTGGAATATCAGTAATGGGCTCATTTGTATCCTCACCTTGTAAACATCTGTAAAGCTGTTACTGACAACATGGCTGTTCTGTTTACTTGTACCTTTTTTATGTTTACCAAATTGTTTTTCGTTTTCATATACTTTGCTTTGTTGAAGTCTGCTGCATAGTCCAGAGTTCTATTTTTTTTTTCATGATTTTTGCTTGATGTCCAAAAAAAAAAAAGTGAACTTTTAAGTGAAGACTGTTTAGAAGAGTAAAATGTATGAAACTAAAGGCAAATTTGGCACTGTTGGCACTGCTTGTTTGAGGTCATAGCTGTAGCTGGATTCTTTGCTTATCAGATGAAATTAGTTTGGCTTCGTATTATTAGAATCTGGCTTCTGCTGCAGAAGCACTACTTCAGTAAATACTTCACCTTTGCCAAGATTTATAGCCCTTGAAGCCTAAGTCTTTTTTTAGGCTGTAGTTCTGCATTATGGATGAGCAGACAATCTGCATTGCGACTACCTTAGCCCTTGTGAATTAAGGTTATTCTGCCTTTCAGAAATTATAATGAACTGACATACAGGAAGGTACGGACACAGGAATGCAGAGATATATCTTGGCTTGTTTGCATGTATCTATGCAGCAGAGCTGGTTGCATCGCTCAAGGTGACAGTAAAATTGATAATAGTCATTGTGTAACAGGAACTGGCTTGGCTTGGGGATCCTCAGTCAGTGCAGAATAACAGTTCTGCACTACATCACCTGCTTTTTTACCTGGTCTTAGGCTGCGGCAGCATAGTTTTCCTCGTGTGACGCAGTTGGTTAGGACTGCAAGATGGCAGTGCTGGGAATTTACGGGGTTTACAGGAAGGAGGTAAAGCAAGGTGTGCTCCCTCCTCCACCCTTGTCTTATGTTCACCTGACAAGCGTCCACTAAGTGCTTGTGGTGGGAGGGTGCAGGAAAGATCAGAAAAATCCTACTACTCACTGGGATTCTTAACTACAGTTTTGAAATGTCTAATGTGGATACTGTAAGTGAATGGAATCATATCAGCTTTCCTAAAAACCATCAGAGATCAACAAAGTTGTTGTTAATTTCCATTTGCTTCCCGTTGGTGGTGGTTATGGCATGTGCAGCAGAAAATGTAAACATTACAGAGTTTTTGAATAACATCATATATCACTGCCTGAGAAATGCGCTTAGGACAGACAATCATCAAGTTGGGCAGAGTGCTGGGCTGAGAATGTGTATTGCAGGCTATGCACCACCAACTGCGGTGCCTACATATGTTAAACATAGGGCTATTCATTTTGGCGCAGTCTGCAATCAAGGGAGAGAGAGAGGCATCTCCAGAGGAAATGTTATCCCCTCTGTCACTACGTCCAAAAGGGACATAGATTATTGAATTTTAATGAATGAGGGCATATTTTGAAAAAGAAATCTTTGCTATTCCTATTTTATTCTGGGGGTACTATAGCATATGTAATAGGCAAGGATTGCAGAAAAATATGGCCTTTCCACTTTAAATGGGGAGGAGGGGCTCTGAGAATTTTGTTTGTTTGTTTGATTAATTATTGGGAATGTAAATATAAATCTGTGGAAGACAGTTTCCCTCCATCTCAATCTTTTGCTAGACGTGTACCCTTCCCTGCATGGGGCTAGCATCTTTCCACTAACAATTTCTTACTGCTTGTCCTTCCCTGAGCACAAGGTCAAACAGGTGCTGCTCTGCTCTGTTGCAGCTTGGTCAGAAAAGTCAGGTCTTCAGGGATGTAAGAGGTGATGTGACTACTTCAGGAAGTAATATAACCTAAGACAGATGTTTAAGAAGGGTATAATTCATCTTCTTAAGGTGCCTCTCTCCCCTCGCTACCTGCAGAGAGAGCTGAGAGAGTATAGGGGAACACTTGATTTTTGGGTTGCTGAATTTGTGAGGAATGCCACCTTTGAAGTCCTGTGGAATACACTCAAGGCGTCCTTCAGTGTTGTTCTCTTTGTAAAATGTGTTCCTTGCTAGCAAAATTCAAGCTTTTCTAATGTAGCTTATGCTCACTAGTTTACTTGTTCATATCATAAAAGCACATGCAGAGCCTGAACAGGGCTGGCGTCCACCACCAAGCTGAACCCCTTTTTTGGACTGTCTTTGGGTTTACTCAGGGCAATAAATACTAACTGGCACAAAGACAGCAATGTTTAGCCTATAGGAAGTACACATTTCACCAGCATTATAGCTAGACATACACTGAAGATTTCTGTAGCATTTTTAATAGCTGTAAAAACCAAAACAAGGGGTGCTGGAATACAAGCTAATAAGAACCTCATGTATTTGAAATGTCTGATGTCATGAAATTCAGTCTTTTCCTTAGGTACTACACTGTTACGGGCAAACTGTGCAGTCATGCTTGGAAGAATTTTTAGGAAGCAGACATGCTGTCCTATTGAAAAAATGACAATGTCCCATTCTTCTTGGCCTTGTCACTCCCCATGCTGACTTGCTCTTATTGGCTTGTAAAGTGATATCAAACAGTCATTGTATCATCTACAGGCTTTTTTTCTTTCCACTTTCCCTCCCTCCATTTGTTTCTTCAAATTTCTCATTTAGTAGTCTCTGCCAGGCTGAGATTTTCATGAGTGGTATTGTGTTCATTACTGGATGGTCCATTCAGCCAAGCAGACATTTTTATCCTTATCTATAGTGGACAGCCCGTGCTACAGTCCTAATGCATATGCCACTTCACTTAAGTTGTACTAACATCACTGGTATTTCAAGGCTGTTATCCATTTTAACACCATTCAGTAGTAAAACCAGTTCTATGATGTACAAAGTAGAGCAATTTAAGCAATATCCTGTTACAACACAAGCATTTTACGATCTTAAAAAAAACCTACAAATGATACAAAAGCTTAAAACATGTCTTCTCAATCTTCTGTGTGGTACTGATAAAATAATTATGGGTGTACCATTTTTTTTTACAAGGCTGTTAAGCTGATTTTGGCTTGGGAGAATCTTGGGCTTTGTAAACTTCCTGTAGAGAGACTTCATAGCGCAGAGAAGCTGGAGCAGGAAGGAAGGAACATGGTCATTCACAAAGACCCATTAGGATGGAAAGGAGAGAGTTCTAGTCTTTCTAGGAGTC